CTGTGTGGGATTACATGTCATTTTCAAAACTGATCTAACCAAATACCGGGAGATTGTATATTTTTACAAGGTTTCCTGAATTTAATACTTTGTGGAGCCTTAAACCTTTAAGTACCAAAGAAGAACATAGTGTAGTTAATGGAGTATATACGAAGCATGTGCTTGTCACCAGTAGGGTACCTCTGGGATCTGTACTTGGACCCATTCTCTTTAATATTTTTATTAGTGATATTGCATAAGGTCTTGATGGTAAGGTATGTATTTTTGCTGATTAAATTAAATATGTAACAGGGTTGATGTTCCAGGAGGGAAAAGCCAAGTGGCAAATGATTTAGATAAACTAGAAAATGGTCAGAGTTGTGGCAACTGACATTTCATGAGGATAAGTGCAAAATAATGCATCTTGGATGTGAAAACCCAAAGGCAGAGTACAGATATTAGATAGAGTCCTAACCGCAACTTCTGAGGAAAGTGATTTAGGAGTAATTATTTCAGATGACTTAAAGGTAGGCAGACAATGTAATAGAGCAGCTGGAAATGCTAGCAGAATGCTTGGTTGTATATGGAGAGGTATTAGTAGTAGAAAGAGGGAAGTGCTCATGCCATTGTACAGAATACTGGTGAGACCTCACTTGGAGTATTGTACGCAGTACTGGAGACCGTATCTTCAGAAAGATATTGATACTTTAGAGAGAGTTCAGAGAAGGGCTAATAAACTGGTTCATGGATTGCAGGATAAAACTTACCAGGAAAGGTTAAAGGATCTTAACACGTATAGCTTGGAGGAAAGACGAGACAGGGGGGATATGATAGAAATACATAAAGGGAGTAAACACGGTAAAGGAGGAGACTATATTTAAAAGATGAAAAACTACCACAACAATTAGAGGGGCAAAGGTTTAAAAATAATATCAGGAAGTATTAGTTTACTGAGAGGGTAGTGGATGCATGGAATAGCCTTCCAGCTGAAGTAGTAGAGGTTAATACAGGGACTAATTAAAGTATTTAGAAAATTTGGGCAGACTAGATGGGCCGAATGGTCCTTATCTGCCATCACATTCTATGTTTTATGTTTCTATGTGCAATGTCTCAGTGCAAAAAAAAAAACTTAAATATTTTGTGTGTAATATCAGTGATTGATTTACAATATGTTTACACTGTGTTTATTTCTATTTAGCTCTTTTAAAACTTTTTTTTATTATGTGTCAAGCATCATTAGAGCAAGAAAAGAATTTTAAGAATATCTGTATGGCTTGAGCCGGTCACTGATATATTAACTTGCAAAAATGTAATGCAAAATTCAAGATGGAACTTTGCTGTTAATTAAAGTACATTTGTAGCATTCATACATATGAAACTTCACATGTGAAAATGTTAAATTTTCCTGTTGATATCCTAACAGATTCTGGTTTAGTGATAACCCTGATGTTTTTTTTTTTTTTTTTTTTACCAAGCTTTGAAATGTGGCAAATTGGAAATAAAATGGCAAAATTGAGGCCAAAATAATTCATTTTTAAAATTCTCCAGCTCAGCTAGAAACACAGCTTGTGTATTTTTCCCTGAATTTTGAAATCTGCTGTTAGTTTTAGGTTAGCAACCCACAGGGTTCTGTTAAACGATCTCTTGGGAAGCTGCCTGCACACTGGCTGGACATAATATGCATCATGATTAAAATTAGGGTTATGGGGTGCACTAAAGTGGTTGGAGTTAGGAAATTCAGGGCTAAGATGAGGATTAGAATTATCGTTAGATTTAGAGTGACTGAAGGTCAAAGGGTTTTTTCGTTAAACCCGGTAAAACTTGATGCAAAAATAACGGAGTCAGAGATTTTTTTCCAGATAAGCATTTTCCCCCCTTAGTTTTTACATTTGGATTTAAATTGCAGATGTTCAGAGTTTAGTGAATAATCCTGTTTATTATCATCCTCAAAGTTTACATATTATGAACTCAGATTCATTATGCCATACAAATTATAATACATATTTAATGTAATATGTGCAATAATGAAGACAATCTGATAAATGAGATAACATATTTCAAATAATATGTACACTGCTCAAAAAAATAAAGGGAACACTTAAACAACACAATGTAACTCCAAGTCAATCACACTTCTGTGAGATCAAACTATTAACTTAGGAAGCAACACTGAGTAACAATCAATTTCACATGCTGTTGTGCAAATGGGATAGACAACGAGTGGAAATTATAGGCAATTAGCAAGACACCCCCAATAAAGGAGTGGTTCTGCAGGTGGTGACCACAGACCACTTCTCAGTTCCTATGCTTCCTGGCTGATGTTTTGGTCACTTTTGAATGCTGGCGGTGCTTTCACTCTTGTGGTAGCATGAGACGGAGTATACAACCCACACAAGTGGCTCAGGTAGTGCAGCTCATCCAGGATGGCACATCATATCGAGCTGTGGCAAGAAGGTTTGCTGTGTCTGTCAGCATAGTGTCCAGAGCATGGAGGCGCTACCAGGAGACAGGCCAGTACATCAGGAGATGTGGAGGAGGCCATAGGAGGGCAACAACCCAGCAGCAGGACCACTACCTCCGCCTTTGTGAACAGGAGGAGCACTGCCAGAGCCCTGCAAAATGACCTCCAGCAGGCCACAAATGTGCATGTGTCTGATTAAACGGTCAGAAACGGACTCCTTGAGGGTGGTATGAGGGCCCGACGTCCACAGGTGGGGGTTGTGCTTACAGCCCAACACCATGCAGGACGTTTGGCATTTGCCAGAGAACACCAAGATTGGCAAATTTGCCACTGGCGCCCTGTGCTCTTCACAGATGAAAGCAGGTTCACACTGAGCATATGTGACTGACGTGACAGAGTCTGGAGACGCCGTGGAGAACGTTTTGCTGCCTGCAACATCCTCCAGCAGGACTGGTTTGGCAGTGGATCAGTAATGGTGTTGGGTGGCATTTCTTTGGGGGGCTGCACAGCCCTCCATGTGTTCACCAGAGGCAGCCTGACTGCCATTAGGTACCGAGATGAGATCCTCAGACCCCTTGTGAGACTATATGCTGGTGCGGCTGGCCCTGGGTTCCTCCTAATGCAAGACAATGCGAGACCTCATGTGGCCGGAGTATGTCAGCAGTTCTTGCAAGACGAAGGCATTGATGCTATGGACTGGCCCGCCCGTTCCCCAGACCTAAATCCAATTGAGCATATCTGGGATATCATGTCTCGCTCCATCCACCAATGTCATGTTGCACCACAGACTGTCCAGGAGTTGGGAGATGCCTTAGTCCAGGTCTGGGAGGAGATCTCTCAGGAGACCATCTGCCACCTCATCAGGAGCATGTACAGGCATTGTAGGGAGGTCATACAGGCACGTGGAGGCCACACACACTACCGAGCCTCATTTTGACTTGTTTTAAGGACATTACATGAAAGTTGAATTAGCCTGTAGTGTGTTTTTCCACTTTAATTTTGAGTGACTCCAAATCCAGACCTCCATGGGTTGAAAAATTTGATTTCCATTTTTAAATTTTTGTGTGATTTTGTTGTCAGCACATTCAACTATGTCAAGAACAAAGTATTTCAGAAGAATATTTAATTCATTCAGATCTAGGATGTTTTATTATTGTGTTCCCTTTAATTTCTTTGAGCAGTGTATTTTAAAATACGTAAATGAAAGAAGGTACTAGTTTGTCTTCCGTTTTAGTTGGTGGTGCTCTCATAGTTTCCTTTTTGAATTCAAAGTAAATTTTAAGTCAAAATATCAGCATTGAAAAATTCCTCAAGTCAACAGCATTACCAGTTTGGCTATTTTGGCCTCAAATTTTAAATTTGTTTCACATTCACTTTGAGTTTCTGTCTATTCACAGATTAATGGATAGTTTTGAAACTTTTTTAATCGAGAGTCTTTAATGTTTACAGTCATCGGAAATGAAGAACATACATTGTAGAATTATTCAAATTTGTATCTATTCCGGTTGACTCAAATTTGCTCCATATTGACTCATCCACTAGTTAAAGTTACTTAAAATACTCAAAAATGAATTCCTGAACAATTCTTAAAGTATCGTTGGGTAAAGTGTTGAATTACGAGAATAAATAAAAAACATAATAACACGTTCACTACCAGCTATTCTCTCTTTTTCTCATCATACCATTTTTGAAGGGCTCATAAATTGGGAGTCTAATGTAGATTGTGAACTCCTCCCCCTCTTTCACCAAAAGGTTTATTAATGAAGTATTCATAAAATAAGTGTAAAAAATATTACTGATCTGCCAAACCAGTTCCAGTATGCAGTACCTCTAGAAATGGCATATGCCAATTTTCATCTTCTGTCAAAACATATCTTGCATTATGTGCTGTGAAACATTAGGGTTATTTAATTAATGGCCAGGTCACTAGGTCCCTACTAAAGAGTTAGGTGTACACACTTAATGATTATACCTTTTCTCTATTTTATATATGGCATTGTATGGAGTAACTGTTGTCAGTCGGCTATAATTGACTATATTGTGGCCATGGTGGTGCTATTGGGTGCCAGTCAACATCAAATGCCTTTATAGCACCCCTGTTAAGCCAGTCAGGAGATCGTGGATAATTAGAGAAAGATTTAGCATCTGTGTACATGTTTTACTCTGTCTATTTATATTTCTGTAACTGTGTGCATGTCTGTCTATGTTAGCCCCTCAAATTTTATATTCTAGAAATCCCCTGATGGCAGCCAAGCATCAACATTCTTGGGCAATCTTTTGTTTTCAGTCATGTTATTAAGTGTTCTTGCATGGCAAGACCACTTACTATTATCTCCCATATATATTTTTATTATTATAACCAAATTGACCACCCTAACTCCTCCCAGAGTTTTTACACTACATAGACAATAATATACCGAATGGTTAACGAAATATCGTTGTTTTTGTGGCGAAATTGGTTCCATAGGAATGAATGGTGGAATGTTCCAAATTAGAGTGGGAGCTGAAAAATCAGGACATGATTTCTAAAATGCCACCACTCTCTCATTTTCAAGCCCACCTACACAAATCTTATATCAAAACATTCAGCTATCCCTGCTGCCACTAAAAATGTCCATGGCTAAGCCATAGTCCTGATAGTTTTCACAATATGACCATTTGTTTGCAACTCACGCCGTCCATTGACATTCATTGAAACTCCACTCTAGCCACCTCAAATTTGAAGGGCAATTTCTAAACTGCGACTGTGCCTTCATTTTTAATATGTCAGAGACATACTATGCATCAAAATGTAGGTCTTCGCTGTAGGATTTATAGTTATTAAAACTATGACCATTTGAAGATGGCAACCGCCAGTGAAGTGAGCAATTTGGAGCAGTTTGTTTTTAACCGCTCTTCTCTGCTCTTGCTGTAGAGTGAGTTGCCATAGGAACCCAGGTGTGTGAGCAGCCAGCAGAGTGTTCCAGAACACAGAGGCTGCTAGATGAAACACATTCTCTAGACTGCTGTCATTCCTACAGTTGATAACACAAAAGTGAGCACTATCACATTTAATAAATATATTTCCATGTTAGTCAATTCGTTATACCTGTAACAGAAAAACAGTAACATACAATGTTACAACAATACAGCTAATCAATGTTTCATGAAGTTACTCTGCCCAGTCCAACCTTTCCACAGTTACTCCAGCCACTCCAACCACACAACAGTTACTCAAGCCACTCCACCCAGTTACTCCGCCCACTCCAGTTGTAGACTACTGGTGGAGGCAAGAACACTTCGCACAATTTCCCCAGAAATTTTAGCTTTTCTAGTTTTTATTAATTCACAAATGTTTTTTTTTTCTTCAAATGCCTATGAAATGAAAACCATTTGGCAAACCGTTTGAAATTTGTTTTGATTGTAGAGACATGCAGAAGGAGAATTATCAAGGCAAAGTAGGTGATGTTTTCCAAAGAGCTAAATCCTGAGAGATATTCTATTGCTTTGTATGATGATTGTATCTACTTTAGCTCTTTACCCCTGAATAGCATCCGCTTTTGTCTTGATAAATGTCTCTCATGGTGTGGTACATCTGCAACTTGAGGTCATTTTTGTGGCATATTTCACACAATATTCCAAAATTGCATTAGAAAGGAAGCTTTCTGCATGAAACATTTTTGAAGCCTATTTTGTGTTTTATTAAAAAGCTGTTTTTTTTGTTAAAAAAAAAAGCTGTTTGTTTCACTGTTCACTTTTCAGATTGAAGTCTATAAAAACATTCAAAGATCTTCTCTAACCTCTTAACTAACCTCTACCACAGCTGATGCCAAAATCAAGGTGGCACTGAGAGCAATTGACTTAGTTATTGTTCAGAGACATAAACTGACATGTATTATATTGCTGAACTGTACTACAATGTATTAAACTACCGATTGCTTAAGAGTGTGTGTGCCTAGGGAAGTATAAGGGTCAAAGGGGTGAATAAAAGATTCATGAACATGTATGGAATTTGCGGATGTTTGCTGAGCTCTTCTATATTAAATGTAAAGCTGTATGTGAAACGATTGATTGTATTAGAGAGAGAACCCAGCCAGTGATCTGATATGCTATATTGCAACGGTGAAACGTTTTAAAATGTACTTTTGAAAAATAACTATAAAATCAAAACTATGTGAGATCAATTTGAGATTAGCTACGGTGTGCCCTGCCATCTTCAGCATAAAGCCCATATGTAATATGGTATGTTGGACCTTTTGGTTTACAGGACCAATCATAAAAAATGTTAAGGGAACACTCCAAGCACCATAACCACTACATGCTTAGTACCAGGAGTGTCCTTGTGCTCCTCCCTTACATTTTTAGGTATCAAAACATTTTAGAATGGTTTGAATTCTTATCCATGTCTACCGCTGCTTCTCCCCTTCTACTTCTGCTCATAACTGGAAGCTCTCTTCATTGAGCTAAGCATGGTGATGCATGGCTTTGCTCAGCAGAGCTAACAGAAGCTCATCTGCAGTGAATAGATGCTCTATTAACTATGGGAGGGAGGGGAGGGAGATTTGCCAGGGGTAAAAACAGTTGTTATTCTGGAGCAAATGTTGAATAAGGAGTGATCACCATGAATCCAATAGAATATCTCTCAGTATTTGCTCTTTGCATCCAAAATAGCACATATTTTGCCTTGACAAATCTCCCCCTATATCTGTGTGTTTAACAAATTCATGGTCTTGTGATTGGCTCTTGGTTGCGTGTAGCTATATTATTGTTTCTTATTCTTCTGATATAGCCATAGAATGTTAATGCAAAAATATAAAAGTACTTTTTGAGTTTACATACTATGCAAATAAGTAACAAAAAACCCCAACAATAATTTTCACTAATCATAATAATTGTAAACATTTTTGTGAAGCTTGCTCAAATTTGGGTTACATTGAAATTTTCATTGTTTGCCAATCTGGCACTCAAAAGTGTAAAATAGCACAGTTTCCATCCAATTGTTGTTTTTTTTTCCTCTTTTCATGGGTTAGGCAAAAACCATTATTCTAGCAAGACAGACTGGCATGTTATTTGTTGGGAATAGGTTAATTATAATAAAAAAAAACTCCACAATCTATTTAATTTGCTCCACATTTCTTTACAACAAGAATACCAACATCAAATTAGTGGCAGGAGAAATGCCAGAATTTAAATTAATTAAAAGTAGCTTACCTTTTGGGGTGTAGCAAATGAGAAAACTAAGAAAAATCTCATGAAGCGTGCAGCTCAGACCAAATGAATCTTAAAAGAATAATTTAGAGAAACCTATTTAGTATTTTAACAAACTCTAGATCTTATACAGAGTTTAGAAGAGGGGGGAGGAGGGCGGGGGGGAGAGGCTAAAAGAATATCTAGAGATTAGGGACACATTTAATGTGGGCTTTATGTTATAACAGAATTCAACATTTTGTTTCCTGAAGGTAATGTGAGCCAATGTGATTTGGATACCAGAACAGCTGATGACATTAAGAGTATGAGTGAAATTAGTTTGTAAGAAGAAGTTGACCCAGCCATCTTTTTCAATCAATGCCAAAGTAATGATATTGTGTTTTTTTAAATTTTTTTTAACTGTTTATGTAAACAAAATAAGTGCCAGACTTATGCATGTAAAAATTCTGTTAGTCCAAATCAGTTTGTCCAAAAATATTTTTTTATTCAGATGAACAAAAATTCATTCATATGACTTTTTGATTCTGACAAATTTAGTTCATGCGATTGTTTTGAGAAAAACGTTTCAGATGAACCAGATGTGAGTGAAAAGACGCTTACTATTGTACTGAAATGCAAACATGGAAACAATGTTGTATAGCCTAACGGTTAAGCAATAGCTGTAATTTTTGCAATGCCAGTTGTGTTGTCAAAATTATATAATTATATCTGTTGTAAAAAATATTAAAGAGCATCAGTCACCTCAAAACTATTTGTTAATATAATAATCCTTTTCATCAAGTTTTTAAAGAAAAAAAATATATATATTTTTTTGAAAACTCTGACCACAAAGACTAACTGTTGGTTTTCAAACACTATCTGACCCGAAGTGTAGGGATGAGCTTTTGATTTGTTTTTGTTTATTTCTTTTTATATATTAATAAATTAAAAAAATCCATTTCCTTTCAAAACTTGAGGAAAGAATTATTATATGAAAATTTTTTTTTTTTTGAGATGTCAGTTGTCCTTTATGTTACAAATGTTGCTTTGGTGATATAGTTAACTTTTTTTTTTTCACTCTCCTAGATCAAGCTAAGAATATGCTCTTCCTTGCCCCACCAACAACCTTTTACTAGACTCCAGGATACGATCATGCCATAAGTTAAATATGTATGTATATACAGAGGCGGCTCTAGACTTTATGAGGTCTTAGGCGAAACTCAAACATGAGGCCCCACTAACACCAAAGTGAAAACAATAGTTGCAATATAAGCACATATATACACATTGATGCACTGTCTACCTGTGTATGTGCCTGAGAGTGTGTGTCTGACAGAGAGTATCCTTGTGTGTGTGTGAATGTATGTCTCTGTGAGCATGTTTGCGTTTTTGCTTGGGACCGTATGTGTATGCCGTAGCTGCTTGAAGTGTGTTGTGTGTATGGGGAGTCTGCCTGTGGCCTTTATGCATTGTGTTTATGGCAAAGCTATGTTTCCTGACAAGGTGAGTAAAGGGGTACCAGTGGCAGGAAGAGCTTGACAGGGCAAAGGGGGTAAATGGGACAGGGTGTGAGAGAGAATGAGGGAGAGGGAGTATGACATGGTTTGATGAGGGAGCATGACAGGGTGAGTGGAGGTAGGAGGGACAAGTGTGACAGGATTAAGGGGGTTAATGTGACAAGGTGAGTGATGCAGAGTGAGGGCAGGTGAGTTTGGAGGGGGTGAGATTAACAGCATTAGGACTGGATAATGTGAGTGTGGATGCATGAAGAGGCTGACAGTGTGGGGGGGGCGTGACAGTGTAGGGGGTGACGACAGTGTAGAGAGGGGTGACAATGTGTGGGGAGGTGACAGTGTGAGGGATGCTAACAGTGTGTCTGGGAAGGCTGACAGTGTGTGGGAGTATGGTGACACAACATTGTTGTGGGTGACAGTGTGTGGGGGGCATGACAGTGTGTTTAAGGGGGGTGATCCTGTGTGTGAAAGGGTGATGGTGTGAGGGAGGGAGGGTGATGGTGTGAGGGAGGGTGATAGTGTGAGGGAGGGGGATGATGGTGAGAGGGAGAGGGGGCGAGAGGGGGTGATAGTGAGAGGGAGAGGAGGGTGATGGTGTGAGGGAGAGGGGTGATGGTGAGAGGGAAAAGGGGTTGATGGTGAGGAGAGGGGGGCAAGAAGGGGTTAGTAAGAGGGAGAGGGGTGATGGTGACAGAGACGGGGTGATGGTGAGGGAGAGGGGGGTGATGGTGAGAGGGAAAGGGGGTGATGGTGAGAGGAGGGTGATGAGCGGGAGGGGGGGTGATGTGAGAGGGTGAGTGGGGTGATGTGAGAAGGAGAGTGGGGTGATGGTGAGAAGGAGAGGGGGATGATGGTGAGAGGGGTTGATGGTGAGAGGGAGTGATGGGTTGAGGGGGGTGATGTTGAGAGGGAGTGATGAGGAGAGGGGGTGATGGTGAGAGGGAGGTGATGGTGAGTGGGAGGTGATGGTGAAGGGGAGGGGGATGTTGGTGAGAGGGAGTGATGGTATGAGGGGTTAATGGTGAGAGGAGGAGGGGGATGATGGTGAGAGGGGGTAATAGTGTGAGGGAGTGGGGTGATGGTGTGAGGCGGGGTGATGTTGAGAGTGGGGTGATGGTG